TTCAAGATGGTAACAGCAGAACATGAAACCAAGCATGGACCCTTCCAAGCACAGGACCCTGTGGGACTGGATAAGTTGCAGGCCTGTGAAACCACCTCTCCCCCAAAATTATAAAACTTCTAGGAGAAAAATTTTGTAACCTTGGGTTATACAAATATTTCTTAGATGGATACAATACCAAAAAGCATAATCCCTGAAAGAACAAATGGAAAAACTGAACATCATCAAAATTACAAACTGCTCTCAAAAGACTAAGTGAATGAAAAAGACAAGCCACACACTGGAAGATAATAGTTACCCAAAATAATAATAAATTTTAACATTGTTTGCACACATTATGTGCCAAATACTGTTATAAAAAATTTATGTAAGTCTATATATATAAACATCTTATAAAGTAGATACAGTTTTTAATCTTCATTTCATAAATAAAAGGCACAAGAATTGACGAATCCAGCTTAATGATATAAAACTAGTAAATCAAGGAGCCAAAACTGGACCCAGGCTGTCTGATTTTGAGCCTATGCTCCTGACATTTCCCCAAAGTAAAAACAAATGACACCTTTTTCTTCTCATTTTCTGTTCTTAATCTGTCTGAGGTGGGCTTTTAAAAAAATCACCTACGTCTTACTTCAACAGACCTTTTAAAACTCCTGAAGTAGGCATACTTGATGGCCACATCTACCCAGCTATATTCAACATATAAAGTCCTTTTCCTATAAGCCTTTTCCAAGACTGGGCAAACCAAGAGGTTATCAGCGTTTCCGGGACCGGTATCAGCAGCCCAAGGGTAGCACAAGTAAGCTGGCAACGCTTACTGTCAGATAAAGCAGCCTTGAGCTTGAACTGCCTCACTGCTCAATTTACTGTTTGAGCAGGGGACATTCCTGCAGCAGGGTACACAGTGGTTTCTTATGACCAGAAAGAATGCATGTGCCTCCTTCAGTGACCACTTACATCCAGAGAGGGACCAAGGCATGGGAACGCTCATGTTTATCTGTGTGCCTGAGCCCACCCACTGTTTCACTGCAGGCCAGGGAGAAAGAAGTATCAAGTCCTAAAAAGGCATTTGAGCTGAATAGCACAATATGCTTGGATACCCTTGCTTCATGTAAACACAGGGTGATTGTGAATTCTAAGAGCCTGGGTGTTGCAGTTCAGCAAGGGTCTGATTAGCATCTAGAAAGCATCCCCAGAAAGGGCTGCAGACCCCTTTGTCTGGAGGAGGGGTGTACACATGACTCTGGTCACCAGGACTCCCTAGCAATTCTCCTATGAATATTTCATCCCTGGTTCCCAACGAGGTATATTTTAGAAGTCTCTAGCACTTTCACGGCAAAGGGCTTTTGGCTAACCCACCTTATTTTCACAAGTGCGAGTGAAGCAGTTAGATGTGAAAGGAAGAGTCTTGGGAAACTGAATTTCCTTCTCTACATGGCAGAAATCACGTAGCTTGTAAAATTTCTCCAAAAGCAGGCAACTGCTGAGTAAACTCTGTTTTGAACTGTCAGTGCCTGGAGTCTTTCGTGACTTCAGCTTTGACGTCATGTAAGTGACTGTGTCTACGGATCAAAACATACAGTGTGTAGCCCCTAGTACCCTCTGGCTTCCCGGCCGACAAAGCACAGGATGTCCACCTTATTGCCACTGTATAATGTTTTATGTAGTACTTTGATTTTTCAAATGTCTTCATGCCTTCCAACCTTCCCAAAGAGGAATATAATCACTGTTTCTGCCTCCTCTGTTGGCAGGATATGGGGAATCACGGGGTGTTTCTGATCGTGTGGCCAGAGTACATTCCTCTACCTTAACCCCCAGCCCCCACCACCACAGTCCCACAGTCACTCAGTCTTTCTGACTTTAAGCCAATCACACAGAGCAACCCCAACAAAACTTGAAACTTCGGTATTTGGCACTTGCCGCACCCAAGGGCATGGCTCTGAGATTTCACCAAGTCCAAAAAGATGGATATGATTGTCCCTTTGTGTCACCTACTTCAAACTTAAATCTTACTTTTAATCAACCTAGGATATGTAAAGTTCTGAAATGTGAGTGTTCCCTGGGCATATTAGCATAGTTAAATTTTGCCAAACAGAAAAATTCTAAGTTTTAAATTTTGGAGCAGCGTTTAAACTCTAGGAAAGAGAAAAATCAATAGAACAAAATGTCTATACATATATCCTCTTGTTATTATCACCTGAGCTGATGTGATTGATTCCAAGGGAACAGCTTGCACCCCGCAGTGCTCCCTGGTCCAACTTTCTATCTATTCTGTGTATATTTATATTAATAAGGATATATAAAACTATGCCTATATTTAGATGAGAGCCTTCTTTTAAGTTTTCTAATTCTGCTTTTCTTGATAAGCGTGTATGTAGACAATCTAGGTATGCACATAAGTAAATAAGAGTGTCACTTGATTCTAAGCAATTGTCAGAGGCCATAATGTATAAGGATTAGAGGAGAGGAGGGTTGTTGCATCTACCTGTGAAACCAGCAGTAAACAGTCACTGCTCATTTCATCAGGAAAAAGGAATGTGCTCTGGGGAAATAGCAGTGGAATAGTCATAAGGTACCCATGTGGCTAAACAAAATCCCTGCTTAATGCAGGTATTTCAGTTCTGGGAAGGGAGGGAGGGTTTCCTTACAGAGGGCAGACAGGAAGAGATGAGGTCATATCTCTTTCTTTCAATTATCTGTAAAAAAAAAACATGAAGGCACCCATCCATATCACGTACACAAATGAAGAAAATTCTCGAGTTAATTCATCTCTTCGCTTGTCTGAACGTAGGAGGTTTGCAGGGTAAAGGCACACAAAATTCCTGTCCGCAGTTTTTATGCTCATTTCTCATCTGAAGGGCTCATCTTTCTTTTCTTGCAGAGTATACACAAGGCCCTATAAAAGTTCGTTGTGCAATTTTGTTTTGAACCAGTGAAGGACAGCTTTCCCATTAGAAATCTAACACGGAAACGTCCTTAATTGACAGACTTTTCTGCAGGGGGGTGCCCAAGCAGGACTCCGGGGACTGCAAGTGTGAATTTTAATGCTTCGTTGCAAAAGGAGGAGACTGGACATTCTTAGTATCTTATTTAAAGCGAGGTACGTTGACTAATACGTGAAGCGGTGCATTAATGGCCTACATTAAGTTACAGGTATGAATTTTACATAAAACGGATTAATATTATATGTCATGGTGGAATTTTAAATACTCTGTGCCCATGCATTTTTAATACTTACGTGCTCTAATTTAATGCTCAAGGCAACTGCATTTCTTGAGCCCACTTTTACTTCTAGATGGATAAAAGAAAAGCCCTACGACGTTTTGGTTTTATCTATATGTCCCTTCACCAAAAATCTACATTTGGCACTCTTTCCCACTTTTTTTCCCCCTAAGCTTGAACGTTTTTAAAACAGGAACGGAAAGGCTACGCATTCCATTCCATCATTATGGTTTCGGCAATTGTGAAAAGGCGAATAATGAAATGGAGGGGGGAAATACAGAAGAGAATGAACATGCCTTCTTGAACGGCGTCCTTCTTAAGGCACTGGAATCCCAGGGATGGAGTGATGGGTGGCAGAGGGTCCCTGGACGCCGCGCTATTAGGAGTGGCAGGAGAGCCTCGAGCAGGGCCCAGCGCTCCCTCAGCAGCCTAAGCCGGGGGAGAGAGAATTCCAGCCGCACATTCCCGCAGTTCTTCGCAGGAACTTCTCTCTCTCTTTCCCCCTCCCTTGGGCACGCACCAGCCGGGCCCGACTCCCGCCCAGCTCTCTTTCCTCAGAGCCCCGACCCACAGCGTTGACGGAATGGAGTGCCCTTCCCATTGGCCCAAGCGTCATTCCCTGAGGTGGCACCGTCCGCCTGATTGGCTGGCCACTTCCTACCCCC